CCTTCAATCCAAAAAAACCTTGGTGGACTGATTGCTAATCAATGTAAATCTTTTGTATTCATCCGACGATATTTTGTGACTTGTGGAAGCTGATGAGGACATCGCCACGCTGGACACACCGACGCCATGGTCTTCCCCAAGTTGCAATTCGTTCCCAACTCAGCTGCCACGTCACCCTCGGATTCAGCAGACACGTCGTCACTGTTTCGGTCATAACTTCCTCATACGACGTCGAAACGGGCCGTTCTTGGATGCGTTGGAAAGGGGACGACGACGCCGTCGTTTTGGATCTGGTCCCAGCTCCAGAAGGTCCGTGGATCATTCTGTGTGACCATGACAAGGTGCTGCGTCATCTATTTGGGCCAACTTGGTCATGTATCGTGTCGGGCCTTAAGCCCAAGTTGTGGGCGCCCCAACCCCTGGCCGTCCCCAACCCTAGGTCGAGTCTTAGACTATAAACACAGCCGCCACCGCTGCTACACAATTGGGTTTTGTTTAGAGTTTAGTTTTCCATCGAGAAACTGAATCGTTCATTGTAACTGTGGTGACAAATCCTTTTACACTGATCCAGGGCCCCCGTTCTTGATCTCCTCCACTGTGTCGATTAGTCCTTTGGAACCGAGTTCTTGAACCCTCTATTGATATTCGCGTCATTCATATTTGCAATTTCAGATTGCGTGTTTTACCTTCTTGCTTGTGCTCTTCGATTCGCTTGCAGGAAAAGCCTTCTTGGCGAGGTCAATCAAGTTGTGCTTGGTTGATAACCAACGGAGCGGTGGTGTAACGATTGCAGGGTTCGAATCGTGTCTGATTTGAAGCCGGATCGCCAACGTCGAGATCTCCACAAATCGAACTTACCGGCTACCTCTCGGAAGATCGGGCCTGTATTCATCAGAAGCAATAAGCCCGAATCTGTTATCTCCTCATTCTCTGTCCCCTAAATTCCCGGAACATCAATCCGTTTTCGTATCCATTTTCAATTTCACATCCCCGGTGAAATCTATCTCCTCGCCTTTTCGGGCTATATATACGGGCCCCGGCTGGCGATCGAAAAACAACTCGATTTGTCTCAAACCTTCTGCGTCCTTAGTATAGTTCCTGCTCTTTCATAGGTTTGAGATCATAGAGAACAGCAAGAGGTTTGCTAAGGAGGCCCTCAACGGACCTACATCATCGCGTCAGCGCCTTCATCGTTTAGGAGGGTACAACTCGTGATGCCCCCACTGCTTCGGGGAATAGGGCCGACTCCGTTCAGCCTTTAGGGTTCTCTTCGTTAATAGCTCGTCGCTCGCTCCCTTGTTATCAAATGAGGCAGATTGATAATGACGATCTGCTTGCCTCCATTGATCGACGTGGCCAGGGTCTCGCTGAATATCTCTCCCTTGCAGAATCGGCTCTGGCCATGGTTCGATGTTGAACACCTCCCGAGGTCAATTCGATGGAGGATAGGTTGGTCAAGGCCGATGCCAGAATCATGGGTGAGATATTTATCATAATCTTTACTTCTTTTCAATTTTATCCTCAAGATTCTGATCACTTCCTCCTTTGAATCTTTTTATACTTGTCTGCCCAACTAGAGAGCCTCTGATTGGCTACGGAGCACGCGGTGGGATTCGTCAACGCCAGAGGCGCCGTCTCGGTGGTTCACATGCACGACATCCCAAACCGTGTCAGGGAGGTCGCTTTGCATGGCGTTCGCCATGGTGCCACCATGGCGTTGGCTTCTGCGCAAGCCCATTCTGGCCACGAACTTCAGTTCCTTCCCTATGGCTTTCCAGCCGCGGCGCACCCTGGGGATTATAAACGCCTGATTAAGGATTTCTTCAGTGCTGCTAACTCCGTAGCCTTTATCTCTCAGGCCGATGATATAATAGCCAAAGTGTTTTCTGGCCCGTAGTTTGTAATAGGTGATATTAGCAAACAATTTCTCCGTCTTGAGTAATATTTCGTACTTCATACTATATGCATCACTTTGTCCGTGTTTGCTTTGCTCCCGTGGGCGATACACATTATACCGGCTTTTACCCCTTCGGTTTTATTTTTGCACTAGAGGCGATACCCTTCTGGTATCGGCTATTAGAGCCGACAACCGAGCAAATTGGTTGTCAAGTATTAATCCAAACGTTAGGGTAATATTCCTTTAAATATTCTCTATTTAATTGCTCTGCCGAATCATTTCAGAGTTTCCAAAATATAAGTATTACCAGGCGCACAACGCTTGATCCGATAAGGTCCTTCCCAGTTAGACGACCATTTGCCGAATTTACTGTCTTTTGATCCGATCGGCAACTTCACTCTCCAAACCAAGTCTCTCTCAGAAAATTGCTCAATCTTGACCTTTTAATTGTAATATTTTGCAATCCTCAGTTTATGGACTTCAATGTTTTTCAAGAGTACGCAGCCGAAGGCAACTCAAGTCTTCTAAGTCATCCATCACAAAATTCTTGTAGACTGCGGCTTGACAAATTATTTGGCTCTTCTACTCTTGGCCCTCAAGGGTAATCCATCCCTAGTCCTCCCCATAATCTTATTGCCATTGATTGTCATAAGTCCATCCTGACTCAAATACCTGATGCCATTCAACAAAAGAAACGGGAACTGCGGGCCAAAGTCAGAGGAGGTAGAGCCATCCGAAGTAGCCTCGAGAGCATTCCTGGATCAGCTGAAGAAGACAAACAACAAATCGTAGAAGCTGATGCTACTCGACTAGAAGTGTTGAGAGCGACCCATGATGTTCCAGATTTAAAATCTGCATGTTAACGCGTATCTTGTGTAGAATCGATCATACTCTCCGTTGTTTAATTGCACTTCTTGTTTTGGCTAAAGAGCCGATTTGATACAGCCGATCCCAGACTTCTAATCTTAATCCAATTACGTCTGAAAACACGGCCTTCATTAAGCGAATCCTTCAATTTCCTACCCTCAGTTGCCCAACGTCGTATTCTCATCGACATTGGTGAAGTGGCGCTTCACCTTCTATTAATTGCAGTTGCCTTTTGCGTGCCCCGATGCGTCCGCCTCTTCACTTCATGTCTTCAAATATGAGCCGATGGCTTCGGCCTCGAACACATCTCCACTCGCAACTGTTCATTTGCTCTTCTCCGCCTGCCGAAACACTGTAGCGGTTTTTTTTCTCCCTTCCATAGATCCAATCATCTTTCATGGCCGGCGAGGACAACCGGGGCTAGCGCGCGGCGGATGAAGTCTCAGAAGAAGACATGCCGATGAGCTAGCGCCTCCGACGCATGAGGTAAGATTGACATCCTCTGTTTATGATGCTGATCTTTTCTGACTTGCCTATAGGTTCGTCGTAAATGACAGCCTTCGTCCCCTCCCCAGGGCCGGCAAGCCTCCTAACGTTGTATCTTCCGCGCCGGCTTCGTCGTCGGATTCCAACTCGTATAACAGCGACGATGCCCGGCGCTTCTTCTGAGAATGGAGGGCGACCGAGGACCGCTATTCTGAGGCGATCCGGAACAACGGCCAGCTTGGGATTCGTCTAGGGGTTTTCCAAGCGGCCCTTAATGCGGCTGAGGAGGAGGCCAGTGCCGTCCGAGCGTGACTGGCTGAGTCTGACGCTGCGGTGGCAGGTAAGACAAGTTCCATGAATGCTTCTATTTCTGATTTTCATCGTCTTTATTTTGATAGTCTTCTGTGATCGCTAGCCCTGATGGTGCAGTCGGAGCCCCTCCAACTGGCGGCGAACGCGGCCGCAGATGCTGTTAGTGCCCACGGTTCCCTCATCAACGCTCGCCTCCAAGATATTCCGGCCCGTGCTCGGGAGATCGCTCTCCACGGCGTTCGTCATGGTGCGTCGGTGGCGTTAACCGCGGCGCAAGTCTAGACCGGGTATGACCTCCATGCCATGGAGTCTGGCTTTCCGATTGGCGACGGCCTTGAGGGACATGAGGACCTGCTTGAAGAATTCATCGTTGCCGTGGAGGCCGTTGTAGACATTACATCCGCTCAGGATGAAGTGAATAAGGTCTTCGATTAGTTTGTACTTAGGGTAATCCGATGACCAAAGACTCCTGTTCTTTTATGAATATGTCTCAGTGCGACGCCCTTGTATGACTGTCTTGAATGTTTTTGGTTTTATTTCTTGCTCTGGAGGCGATACGTATCGTATTGGCTTTTATGTCTTTGAAGAATCTTTCATTTTTGAACTAGAGGCGATACCTTTTTGGTACCGGCTATTAGAGCCGATGACTAAACGAACCGGCTGTCAAGTGCTGATCAGATGCTAGGATAATATCCTTTTAAATATTTCACCGCAGAGCTTTTCATATCAAGGGTTAAACGATTGATTAACCCAGGTCAAGCATCCCATAAAACAGAACCTCCTTTAATAGATCTATTATGATTCGACTTAGCGTTCACATACGTCGGCCCAAGCCTATCTTCAGAATCAATACTTATTTTCCCTTAATTCAACGGCCGACGCGAAGCCATGATTTTTACTAAAACAAACTCTCAGAGTCGATTGCTTGCATCGGCTGTTAGCTTTCATTGCTAATCTTAATGAAGCCTCCTTCCCATAAATTGCCAGAAAAACATTCGAAGTCTCCTAGTTCCTAGAAGACTGGATCGGCTATTGCGATGCTCATAGATTCATCAGCACGAACCATCTCGACATCATCTCCATGCCATTGGATAAAACACTGATGCGTTGTCGATGGTACACAACAGTTCGCATAAATCCAATCACAACCAAGCAGTAAACTGTACGACCCTTCTATACAATGAAATCGAACAGCATCCCTCACAACTATTTTCCTGCTAGTGACGACTGATGAGTTTGATAGCAACATGGCAATCATCACATATCCTGAGGTTTTTCATGATATGGATTGGTGCACCCTTAGGTGTGTGAAGAAGGCCAAAGGCTAGAACCAATTTCTCACTATGATACATAAGGTGCTCCTCTTTTTGTTCATCCTCAATATCATGTAGGACCACTGCAAAGTTTGGAACATATCCGATAGCTTTTATCTGGTTGATCAGCTCTTCAAGTTTTTCAGTGATTTGTCCATCTGCGGATGTACCTTCTCCTCCGATGTGAAAACATGAACATCACTTCCCACATGAATCCAACTAACACCAGGTGGCTTCCTAACGCCCCTCTCCCTCATATGCTTACGAACCTTCACAACGCCATCCCATCGGTTGGCTTTTGCACACATGTTAGAGAGTAAAACATAGGTTCCAATATCATTGGGCTCCAACTGAAGAATCTGTTTAGCTACTCGATGACCAATACCATAATTTTTATATACCTGACAAGAACTTAGCGGTGATCGCCATGCAACAACATCTGTGCCAATGCAGTTATTCACTATGAACCTCTCAGCCTCATCTAGCCGTCCAACTCTGCATAACAAACCAACCATACAAGTATAATGTTCCTTCCCAGGTGTAATTCCAACTTCCTTCATCATAGTATTCAAGTAGTAGAATGCTTCATCAACAAGACCCAACTGAGCACAAGCTGACAATACTCCAACAAAGGTGACATAAGACGGGACCACTGCTGCTGATAGCATACTGTGAAATGCTTCCATCGCTTCCCTTGCAAGGCCATGATGCGCATAGCCTGTGATCATCAAATTCCAAGAGACAACATCACGAAGTGGCATGGAAACGAAGACTCTTTGCGCATCCTCAATGCTGCCACTCTTTGAGTACATGTTCATGAGGCCATTACCGACTAGCAGATGGTCCCAATGCCCAGATTTCATAGCACAGGCACCAAGGGCGTTACCAGTTCTCAAGGCTGCAAGGCCAGCACAGCTGTTGAGAGCCACAACATAAGTGAACTCATTGGGTTGAACTCCTTCCATTTCCATGTCCAAGAACAATTGCAATGCATCTTCATACAACTCATTTTGGTTGTAAGCAGTCATAACAGCTGTCCAAGAAACAACATTCTTTTCTGGCAGAACCTCGAATGCACGATTAGCATCATGAGCATGGTCACATTTCCCGTACATATCAACAAGTGCACTCCCCACATACACATTTAATTGTAGCCTCTTCTTCAAAGCCTGGGCATGCACCTGAATCCCAAGCACAAAGTCCTTCATGCTAGCACGATGCCCAAGAACTGCGAATAAGACACATAATCCCATTTCTCAACCTCCCCAGTCATTTTTCTTACAATCCCAAATGAACCATCCAGTAGCCCCCGATCAAGAAACCCATTTATCATTGAGTTGAATGCGAATGCATCAAAACCAGACACATTCTCAAATACCTTCGCCGCATCCTCCATGTGAGCACACTGACAGTACATATATAGAACTGCGTTGAAAACATAGCGTTGCTCCGCCAGCCCAGCCTTAACAGCATACCCATGGCACTGCCTCCCCATGTCATAGCTCCTGACATTGGCGGTTTGCGGCCACCGCCGCTGACAGAACGTACTCGTTCAGGCCAAAGTCGACCACCCTGAGCAGCGCGAGCGAGTCCTTATGGCGCCCCAGGGAAGCGTATGCGGACATGAGGAGGTTTCCGGACACGGCGTTCCGGAAGGGCATTGCGTCGAACACCTTGCGGGCGAGCCCGACCCGGCCGCACTTGGCTTAGACGGAGATAAGGTTGTTGTGCAGGACGACGTCGAAATGGGCGGCTGTGATGAGCCGGGCGTGGAGCGCCTTTCCCTTGGACAGGTCGCCAGCGGCGGCCGCCGCTCGAAGGACGGCCACTGCCGCGTGCCGCTGGAGCGCGGCGCCGCAGGGTGTAGCCATGGATTGGGGCGCAGGGTTCTAGAGAGGTTTAGAGGAGGGGGTTAATTGGATCTGTACCATTATAACTTTATCGTTTTTAAACACATCATTATTATTTAAAAAACTATGCCATGGTCATTGAAACTCTGCAGATATTTGAGATATCCCATTATATACATCTGGATACAATTTGGGCCCACTGATGTACAAACGGTACCGTATATCCGTATGGACAAGATTGCCTTCTTCCTCTTCTCTCTCAAACTCACTGACACGTGGGGTCCATTCGTCAGCCTCCCTCCCTCTCCCACTCTTCTCCATCTCCGGTCATACCCGCGAGGGGCCTGCCGCCACAGCCGGCGAGCGCACAGCCACCGCCACCGGGCGAGCAAGCGGGGGCACGTCGGGCTAGTCGCACCGCACGGGGCTGGCGTGTCGGCGAGCACCGAGCGGCACGGACGCGGCCCTCGGGGTCGTCGCAGCGGGCAGCGCGGCCAGAGAAGAATCCAGCTGGGAGCAAGCTCGACCGACCTTTGCGCAGAGCTGGCGGCTAGCGAGGGCGGCGGAGGTGGCTAAGCCCGTGCGGCTGGGTGACGGCAATGGTGCCCTCGGTCTCAGCCGCTGGCGTGGTGAGCTGAGTTCGCGGCCCTTGGCCCGGCAACGGTCAGATCCGCGCGTGAGACGAGCTCACCGGCAAGGTCCAGCTCATGGAGCTTTGATTGCAGTCACGTCGACGCTGATGGTGTGGGCGAAGTCTCCTCCGGTCGGGTGCCTCTGCTCGCTATTGTCGGCATCGGCATCTGGCGGTTGGGCGACGCCGCCCTAGCTGGGTGCCGTCGGACATCGTGTCTAGTATCTGGGGGCGGGAAGGAGATGGCCGGCATCTGGTGCTATACGGCCTCTGTGTTGCTGTGCGGCCGTGCCCATGCCATGGATTGTGCTCACGTTCGTTAGCTTGTCATCGTCCATGTTCGCCTGAGAGGAGCGTCCACGCTCGCTGGCGCACCGCGGCCACTCGACCAAGCTCAGGGTAGAGGACAGGAGAGAGGAACGGGATGACACATTGGGCCCACCTGTAAGTGAGGTAGAGTGGAGGGGTATTTTGGTCCATACAAAAATACAAAATTGTCTGTACACCTGCACGTGGGTCCAAAGACGCCGCCGACATATATAATGGCATATTTTAGCTTTTGCAAGAATTATAATGGCATTGACATAGTTTCGTAAATAATAATAATGTGCTTCAAAATTAATAAAATTATAATTGCACAGATCAAATTAACCCAGGAGGAAAGAAGAAAAGTATACAGGCCAGGCAGGGGGTTTTGAGATAAATATATTATTAAATCTGTGGCTCAACGTCGAGATGGCGGGCCAGGGCCCATATAAGTTTGGAGGTTCAGCCCATATGTGTATTTCAACTTTGCGTTTCGGGCTAAAGCATAGATGGGTCGGAAGTCCAGTAACGGCCCTACCCACTGCAAAGTGATGGTACTGCTACCAGATTTTACGTGGCCTTTTGACTCACCAAACGTCCTAATAGAACGTAGAAATTTCACAAGAACACCGTAGATTTCATACGTCTTATATACGGAGAAAGATCAATACAAAATAGAACCTCACAGGAACATAAGTGCCCCTGAGAAAACTATATTCAGTTGTTGCCAGTAACTCAAATTGGCAGTGGGAGCTTACAAAATTTTCTGCTTGGTATCAATGCATTGCACTCTCTGACATAGCATCCTCCAGAAAACTTTAGCAAAGAGTAAGGCAAAAATATGGTATATGCATTGAAACTATTTCCACAATGCTCCTTTAACTGGCGTCATTTGGCTAACTAATCTTTCCAACCATCTTTCGTCGATCGCCTCGGAGCGAGACCTTTGGACGAAGGGTTAGACAGAGGTTTGGATGGTGTCATCGGAGCTTCCTCATCGTCCCAGTCATCTCCCCAGTTGTCGTCCCACTTATCAGACTGATCATCAGGTTCTTTCTTGCCTCCAACCGAAACCGGTAAGTCTGACATGTCTAGCTTCTGATATGCAGGTTCGCCATCTTGCTTGCGTGTCCTCCGAAGCATGATGCACACTCCCACCACAGCAAGGAGAAGAAAGATAGGCAGCAGCGTGTATGTTGATGTAAGTGGCATCCGAATGACTCTGCCAGTCTCCCTTGTGATTGCATTGTGAATGCTAATGTTACAGGAGTTTTCTGCAACTTTGAGGACTATTGTCGCCTTGTTTGCATCATCACTAACAGAAACTCTCACCTGTGTCTAAGGCAAAAACAACCACAAAAAGAGCAAGACAAAGGCTCAGTAGAGTGTTTGAAGACACTCGAACCAAATCTCCAAGATAAGCACAACAATATATTACTAAAAGCTGATAGCTCGAGATAGGTTTCATAAGTACATAAGCAAGTGCAATTAAGAATGTTTTAGACAACAATAGAAAACTAAAACTAAAAAACCCATCAGTATACTGTCTCTGATTCCAATGGAAGTCATTTAGGACATTGACACAGTTTCCAATATGACAATTTTACTTGCAATTATTGTAAAAGTTTACCTTTTTTATATGGAAAATTTTATATATTATGATAGTATTTTCCATGATGAACCTAAGACCATCAATCATGTGTTGTCAGTCTATATAGCCTTTCATGTATTGATGGATCAAGTTAAAGAAATTTGACCGATTAGAATCCTGAAACGAAAGATGTGGGGATGGTAAAAAGGAGGTTGATGAAGAATCAGATGGAGTAATTACAAAGTTACATTACTCATTTATACCTCATTGTGATCATTTGCTTCAACATGGATGGCATTTTCAGCTAAAGTGACATAATCTGGGGCCGTGATGCTGACATCAAGTGGGTTTATACCTCTGTTGTCCATCAGAAGCGACAGAGCTGATGAGTCTGGTCCCAACCTTAAAATGTTAGTTTACGTGGAAAACATAAACAGAGCACGAAAGAAGGAAAACGAGCAGACCAAAATATGAAACAGAAAAATACCACAATACATAAAGAGGACCAAAATGTTTTAAAAAAATAATTGATGTCATAGGGGAAAATGTGATGGGTCATTAAGGAAATTCTTTAGGAGGCCACACTTTTGGCCCAGATGCTGACAGCAAACTCTAATATAGTTGTCCAATATTGCTCTGATGCTAAACTTTAGCAACGACTTAACTATAAGCAAATCTACCGAACATATGTACTTTTCTAATTGGCCTTTAAATTTGAAACCTATTTGGAAAACTGTCTGCAGTATCTGAATTATAAATTACTACAGAATATATGGTGGATGCAAGTGCAGAACTAGAGGATATAAAAAATGAAGTTCACATTAGAATAGTTACAATAGTAACTTTCAAAGCAGAAATGACAAGTTTGAATGCCAGATTTATGTATAAATGAGAATGGTATTAGTTTAATTACGACAACATAATAACAACCAGTCCTTAAAAGAAATAAGTTGTAATTTCAAAGAGTAGAAGCTTGATAGAGACAACTAACTTTTTTATATAAAAAAAAGTGTATGGTGTGCACTGATAGATAAGGAAGAAAAACCAAACAGCTGGAAAATTACCTTCTCCAGAAACTTTTAAGCAAGCGATGAATTTCTTATTTTCAATGATACATCTATGTGATGGATCACACTCCTTGATAAGAGGATCTTCCAAGAAATCTCGTGCTTGTGAAGGCTTTGTCATGCTGTTATCTTTGTCCTTTGGCTGCAGTATCGAGTCATCTCTTCTGATGTTGGTTACTTCTGTTGAGTTATCCTTCTTGTTGTTGTCACCAATATCATTGCTGACTACTCCTTTCTGTTGGGTCACATGCTCTTTGTTAGGATTTGCCTGATCATGCTGTTCCGATTTCCCAAGGCCTGACTGTGCGCTAGAGCTATCACCATTTGTTTCTGCTGGTGGCGTATCAGCACTACCCTGAATTCAAAAGGAAAGATGCATCACATATAAGCCCAACACATAGCTGCAGCATCGGTTATCCAAATGCCCCTTTGATGTAGACTGCCTTGTTTATATGAAGCTGAGCTCGCTGGTTTTTCAGTACCGGACTAAGTTCTCGTAACAGGTGTTTCAGTATTCTTACTAATTACTTGAATTTGCAGAATAACCATTATGTGATGCATCTATTTGGGTTATCACCATCAGTATTCTCAAGCTTAACTAGTGCTATAGTTACTTGAATAATGGGGCAACCTATTTGGGTTATCAGCATCAGTATTTCATTAGTTATAATTGAATAAATAATGGGGCAACCTATTTGGGATCATTTAAAGCGCAAGCAGTGGCTATTTGATCTGGACAGCTACCTCGCGTGTTTTCTGATGATAAAAACACTAGATCAATGTCAATACAGCCTTTTCGGCTAACGGTGGTGCCTTAGACTCATAGCGAAATCACACTCGGCCCATACGCAGCTTCAAAACCATCCAAATCACCCTCCTACGCTAAGCACATCCCCCAGATCGCGTGAGCAGCGGCGCAGCTAATGAAGCACCCTGCCAGCCAACTAATATATGCGGGGGGATGAACACAAACCCGGCTCACCTTCGCTACGGCGACCACGGCGAAGACGGCCACCAGGAGAAGCGCAGCGCCCCGCCGCATCGCCGTCCCCCGGGGACACAGCAACCAAGCTTGGCCCGGGCGCGTCGACCAGGTCCAACCGAGCAGGCGGCCGGGGAGATCTGGAGAAGTGGGGGCGCGAGCGCGCACTCCCGGCTCCCGCCCCGCGGGGGCGACGGAGTCGAAGAAGCGGAGCGGAGGAGACGGGCGGCGCAG